CCCTTGGGGCCCTAGCTGAGCCCAAAGCCCCCCTGGCTCAGGGAGTTATTTCCCACTCAGGCTCAAGTTTGAGCTGCCAATAATGAAACTGAATTTGGTGCAAGCAAGACAGGCTTGAGAGTGGCCAGAGAATGGAGAAGGGGAACTTCTACTCTAAAAGCCTCTTCCCTCTGAAGGAAGAGGAGTAGGGGGATTTTAAGGGTTAGGAAACAGGTCATCAGGGCTCTAGAAATGGGGTGGAGACTTCAGGGACAGCCTTGGGCACGCGCAGTCACACTCCTTTGCACGTAGCTCTAGTTGAGCCTTTGTTGTTTTAGTTGTTAGGTCACTTTCGACTCTTTTCAACCCCATGGACTGTAGCCCACCAGGCTCCTCTGTCAATGGGATTTCCCAGGCAAGAATACTGGAGTGGACTGCCGTTTCCTTCTCCAGGGGATCTTCCTGACCCAGGGATCGAGCCCAAGTCTCCTGCAATGGCAGGTGGATTCTTTACCACTGAGCCACCAAGGAAGCTAATTTTTCCTAGCAGAGTATAAATCCCCTCTTTGGGCAGAGATCTAACGAAACAAAGGTAACTCTCAGACACCTCCAGGTCTCAGCTGCACAGGTGCATTCATGGGGTCATGTCAGAGCCAGTTTTGGGGCGGCTGACCACTGTGTATCTCTCAGCACACAGCTGCAAAGCATCACTGGAAGATACCAAGTGCTTTGAAACAAACACAGAGATAAATCAGAGCAAGTGTTTGTCAGCTCTCAGGCCCTGGTATGAAAACACAGAGATAAACGAGGCAAGGAAAGTCGGCCTTCTTGGATCTAGCCAATTCAGTCTGGTTTTGTCTCGGGTCTTTGCGGCATCCTGTTGATAAAACACAACTAACCTGTGTGGTTTAAAAAAAAAAAAAAAAACACAGTTTCTGTACCTGGGACCTGGACTGCATAACACGGGTGTCAATATGACCTTTAGTGAAATGGCCAAAACTTTCAGAGGCTTTGTTCCTATGTCTGTAAAATGGGGGCAACGACATCACCACCATCACAGGATCCTTTAGATCCCCAACATTTTTGGCACCAGGGATTGGTTTCATAAAAGACAATTTTTCCATGGCGGGTGGGGTAGGGTAAGTAGTTTGGGGATGATTCAAACGCATGACTATTATTATGCACTTTATTTCTGTTTATTATTACATCAGTTCCACCTCAGATCATCAGGCATTAGATCCCAGAGTTTGGGGATCCCCTGTTTAGAGGACTGCCTTGGCAAATCCATGCAAAGCTGCTACTTCTGAAGCTGTGGAAATAAAGGATAACCAAAGGAGGAAAACGAAGGCTATTAATTCAGAGCTTGCATGTAGCAGGGGAGTTATCCACTATCCCTTGCATTTTGGCAGAGACTCAAAGGCAGGCAGAGAGGTGGAAAATCTTTGGAATGAAAAACAGGAAAGGCTACAGGTGTGTCCTTGTGGGAGGCTGTTGGCACAGAAAAGCAGGACATCCTAGGTGATTGGTTAGGGGACGTGTTTGGTTTTCTCTGGCTGGCCCTGAGTTAGAAAAAAGGGACAAAAATTAGGGAGGCTGTTAGTTGTTAATCAAGTCCTGGCCATTTGGCACTGATTGTTACAGAAGTTATTGTTCAGCTTCCTGCGTTGTCACTAGAGATAGAAATCTGGCTTCCTGTAAGTCTGACTTCAGCTGGCTTCCTGGGCTGTTTGTAAGAGGGTTGGTTTCCTAGGCAGTTTGCTGTACCTTGTGAGTCACAATTCTGTTTTCAGAGCAGGTCTGACAGTTGTCGGTTTGCATACTGGTCTCTCAAAGCACTTTTTCGATGTGATTCTATCTAATCAAAGATCAACATGGAGGGACTTCCCTGGTGGTGCAATGCTTAAGAATCCACCTGCCAACACAGGGGCCACGGGCTCGATCTCTGGTCTGGGAAGATCCCACATGCCGTGGGGCAGGCACGCCTGTATGCCACAAGTACTGAACCCATGCTCTAGAGCCTGAGAACCACAGCTACTGAAGCCCATGCGCCCTAGAGCCTGTACTCCGCAAAAGGGAAGGAACCGCAATGAGAAGCCCTCACACAGCAATGAAGCGCAGACCTGGCTCCACAACTAGAGAAAGCCCCCACGCAGCAACAGAGACCCAGTGCAGCCACAAGTAAAAATAAAAGGATCAACATGGATAAATCTGCTCCATGGAAGACCCAGATTTTTTGTTAGTAGAACTGAGAATAGATGGTCCCAGAGACCAGTGAACAGAAAAGCCAAAAGAAAAGAAGTTTCGGTCCTGGAAGAAGAAATAGAATGTGGGGCTCAGTTCCAGCTCCTTCTTGCTGTGGGACAAACTCAGTGGTATAAAACAACAACCATTTTATTATGTTCATGATTTCTGGGATCAAGAAGACAGAGAGCTTCGTGATATCCAGCCTCAGATGAAAGGCTTCAAAAGGCTGAGCTTGGCTCAAATGCCAGAAGCTAAAAGCACCCAGAGGTGTCTTCATGCACTTGCTGTCAGCTGGGTGCTCAGCTGGGGCTATCAATAGGATCATGGATCCTACTGGTCAATGTGTCCTCACCAGTGTGACTGCTTGGGCTTCCTCACAACATGGTGGCTGGGTTCTGGGTTCATGATGGGAAAACATGGAAGGAATAAGTGTCCTGGAAGACCACAGCAGAAATTCCGTGGCTTCTTCTGACCTAGCCTTGGAAGTCACACCTTGATCTACATCATATTCTTCTGATTACAAGTGAATCACTAAGGTTGGCCCACATTCAAGGGAGGGAGATTAGACCTTCCACTGGATAGGAGAATAGCAAAGTCATATTGAAGAAGAGTGTTCAGTTGCAATCAACTTTGGAAAATACAGTGATTCACAGGCTGGCTCTTCACAAGCTCACTGTCTATAATAAAAGGCAGAAAAACCTCCTTGGTGGTCCAGTGGTTGAGAATCTGCCTGCAAGGCAGAGGACACCATTTGGATCCCTGGTCCAAGATGTGCTTACATGCCTTGGAGCAACCAAGTCTGAGCACCACAACTACTGAAGCCCTCGCACCCTAGAGCCCTGGATGCAGCACATGGCAAAGACCCAGTGCAGCCAAAATAAATAAATAAAAAATTTTAAATAAATAATATTTTTAAAAAATAACAAAATAAAAGGCAGAAAATATAAACAAGCTGTGAAAATCATGTGAATCAGGGAAGTTTTTTGCTACAGCAACAGAAACTGCTTCTAGCTGATTTAAACAGAAAAGGAACAAATTCAAGGATCCTACAGAAGTACATCAAGGCTGTATGTTGTCACCCTGCTTATTTAACTTATATGCAGAGTACCTCATGAGAAATGCTGGGCTGGAGGAAGCACAAGCTGGAATCAAGATTGCCGGGAGAAATATCAATAACCTCAGACATGCAGATGACATCACCCTTATGGCAGAAAGTGAAGAAGAACAAAAGAGCCTCTTGAGGAAAGTGAAAGAGGAGAGTGAAAAAGTTGGCTTAAAACTCAACATTCAGAAAGCTAAGATCATGGCATCTGGTCCCATCACTTCATGGGAAATAGATGGGGAAACAATGGAAACAGTGGCTGACTTTATTTTGGGGGGCTCTAAAATCACTGCAGATGGTGACTGCAGCCATGAAATTAAAAGACACTTTACTCCTTGGAAGGAAAGTTATGACCAACCTAGACAGCATATTAAAAAGCAGAGACATTACTTTGTCCACAAAGGTCCATCTAGTCAAGGCTATGGTTTTTCCAGTAGTCATGTTACGGCGTGAGAGTTGGACTATAAAGAAAGCTGAGTGCCGAAAAATTGATGCTTTTGAACTGTGGTGTTGGAGAAGACACTTGAGAGTCCATTGGACTTCAAGGAGATCCAACTAGTCCATCCTAAAGCAGATCAGTCCTGGGTGTTCATTGGAAGGACTGATGTTGAAGCTGAAACTCCAATACTTTGGCCACCTGATGCAAAGAGTTGACTCATTTGAAAAGACCCTGATGCTGGGAAAGATTGAAGGGAGGAGGGGAAGGGGACGACAGAGGATGAGATGGTTGGATGGCATCACTGACTCAATGGACATGAGTTTGAGTAAACTCTGGGAGTTGGTGATGGACAGGAAGGCCTAGCGTGCTGCAGTTCATGGGGTCACAAAGAGTTGGACACGACTGAGCGACTGAACTGAACGGAACTGAGACAACTCAGAGAGTCTCCAGAACGGCAGGGAACCAGCCTCGGAACGTGTTGTGTGCTGAATTGCATGCTCAGTTGCTTCAGCTGTGCCCAACTCTTTGAAACCCTGTGGACTGTAGCCCACCAGGCTCCTCTGTCCTGTGGGGATTCTCCAGGCAAGAACACTGGAGTGGGTTGCCATGCTCTTCTCCAGGGAATCTTCCCCACCCAGAGATTGAACTCGTATCTCTTATGACTCCTGAATTGGCAAGTGGATTCTAAACCCCAGGCTTAGCTACCAAGAAGGACTGGGATAAAACAGATGTCCAGACTGAGATTAAAGGCTGGAGGTTCTCTTGGAGGGGGCTGGAGTCAGGTAAGGCTTGATCCCAGATCTGGCAAGTTGAGCTTGAGAATCCTATGAGTCCTTTATGTCCCTGACAAAACACAGTCCAGAACCTCATTCTTTTCCTGGAAGGACAGACGGGTCATCAGCTGAGGCAAGAAAAAGCTGGTCGGTGGAGCGAGGGTGGGGCAGCGTGTCAGGAGGTAGGTGTGGGATGTGCTGAGGTTGGAAGGAAATCCAAGAGAAGCAGAGATGTTGAGGTGGGGGGAGCCAGGGTGTTCCATCTGAGACATGTTGTCTTTTCTGTGCGGCAGAATCAACCAGACAGTTGGATGGTCAGATCTGAAATACAGGAGAAAGCTCCGAGCTGGGAAGATGGAATCACACATCAGTGTTCTATGGACTCTCACTGATACAGTGGGGAGGGTGGTGAGGAGGCCTTCCAAAACATCACATGGTCCTCTCTCTCTCTCTCATTCCCCAGAAAAGCCTAAGGAGCTGCCCGTTACCAACCTGCCTGTGAGTGCTGGGATTGTGGCTGCTATTGTCATTGGATCTCTTGCCACTGGGTGTATCTTCGTCGGCAGCATTGCCTATCTCCTGGTGACAAGAGGCTGGAGGGCTCAGAACCACAGGTACAGGAGCCCCAGCCCTCTCTCCTTCCCGTCGGTCTGCTCCCCCTCCCCTCTTGGATCCCCTTGATTCTTCTTCCCCAAGTCACATCATCCAACTCATACACAATCTCATCCATCCTGGAACCCCTGAGGTAGAGAGGATCTTCCTATCTTGTATTAGACAGAAGTCTGCATTGCAAGGGACAGAGACCTTACCTTTTCACTGGCTTACCAAGTAATAAGAAATGTTCTTGTCCTATATAAGTGAGTTTCAGGTATGGCTGGATCCAGGGGCTCAATTCTATCAAGAAACTCCTCTGTAGACCTCTCAACTCTCCTTTTCTCTATGGTGGCTCCATTTCCAGGCAGGTTCTTTCCTTAAGGTATGACAAGATAGCTAGCTCTCAGTGGCTCTAGGCTTATATTACACCAACTCAGCCACCCAAGAGGAAAAATAGTACATTTTTCCTGATAGTTTCATCAAAATCCCCAGAGCTGCCTCTCACTGGCTTAACTAAATCGCATGTCCTTACATGAAACAATCACCACGGCCAGGTCTTAGAATGCAAACTTGAGCTACTTATATAACCGTGGAACCAGAGAGATAAACCCGGCTCCACATGATGAAATGGACTGAGAGTGGGGAAGGTTCCTCAGAAGAAAACCAGATGTAATTGCCAAAGAATGGGAGTGGATGGTGGGCAGGCAAAGGCATCACATGGTGCCTACCTCTGAGGGATTGGGTAGGCAGGAAACAGGGAGAGGCAAAGACACAGAGAGAAGGGGGAGGAGGCCTGTGTTCCCAGGGAACAGTGTATTCATGAAAAATTCCTTTCTCATGAGATCAGCCTCTTCAGAACTTTGTCTCCTACCTTGATTCTGAGCTAAAACGTCTAATTTCACTTCCACTCAGTAATCCCTAGAAAATGAAAGCAGTAACTTTGTCTCCTCCCTCAACTCTTCCTTATGTGTTATAGTTTCCTGACCTTCAAGATTTTGTCTTCCTTGAATATGTTCTAAATTAGGGGTGGCAAACAGCTTTCACCTCCCAGCCCAATTCCGATCAGTAAATTAACCTACACATATTTGTTGAGGGCCCACTATGGGCTAGGCACTGTTCTAGGCACTAGACAGCTTGACGGATAAAGAGGTTGGGGGGGGCGGGTGGTGCGGGGAGGATTCCATCTAAGTTAGTGAGAAAAGATGCTGCGATGGATTAACAATGTCTGCCACAGTCATATCAAAGGTAGTGGAGGTACATAAGCCATGCCTGCTAGACATTCTTGTTGTCTCAAAGGTTATGCAAAAAGAGGTGATGGGGGACTTCTCTGGTGCTCTGGTGGTTAAGAATCCACCTTGCAAGGCAGGGGATGAGGGTTCAATCCAGGGTCGGGGAACTAAGATCCCACATGCTGAGGGGCAACTAAGCCTGTATCCTGCAACGAGAGAAGCCCGAATGCCACAACTAAGACTGGATGCAGACAAAATGAATAAGTAAATAAAAGGGAGCTGCAGTCCATGGAGTCACAAAGAGAAGGACATGACTGAGCAAACACACACACACACACAAACACCATAGTTTGCCATAGCCTTAGAGACTAGAAGTCATTTACCAAATGGCACAGAACTGGCCCGTGAATGGCAAAAAGTTCTCAAGATAGTGACCCTTACCTGCCTACCTTGTAAGCTCCAGAACCAAAGCTAGACACCATATCTCCTGACCCTCTGACCAGCTTCCTTCCTACAGGGCCAGTGATTCTAGGTTAAGTTTGAAACATTTCCAATTCTAAAAAATTTTTAACCTTTTGATGACATTTTTTTTTCATTTATTTTTATTAGTTGGAGGCTAATTACTTTATAATATTGTAGTGGTTTTTGCAATACATTGACATGAATCAGCCATGGATTTACATGAGTTCCCCATCCTGAACCCCCCTCCCACCTCCCGACATTTTTAAAGTTATGATATTTTTAAAGGCATTGAATCAGATGGGGAAAAGAATTTCTTTTTCGTCTCTTTTTGCAGGATTCTGAGAGCAGCAAATGAATACCTTGATCAGGGTTTTAATGCCTTTCTAATGCTTGCTAGCTTCTATGAAGAGAAAATCAGCAACATGTGGAGCTACGAATCTAAACCATTGTTTGACTTTTATTTTCTCACTTTCTATATTTATGTCCAGCTGTATGGAGTTTTACTTTCACTCACAACGTAACAGCTTCCAACTGGTCTCCCTGCTGCCACTCCCACCCCACAGTCTGTCTCCCATTCTCCCGTTTAGCAGCCAGAGAGTGTGTTAAAACTGGTCAGGGACTCTCCTGGTGCTTCAGTGGTTAAGAATCAGCCTTGCTATGCAGGGGACAGTTCCCTGGCCTGGGAACTAAGATCCCATAGGCAACTAAGCCCAGGCGCTGCAGCTACTCAACCAGCAAAGATCCCACATGATGCAATGAAGATTCCCCGGGGCTGCAACTAAGACTCAACAGAGCCAAATAAATAAATAAATCAGTCAGCTCTGGTCCTGGAGTCAAGGCCAAAGTCCACATCATGGCCCCAAGACTCAGCCCAATCTGCCACCCACCCTCTCACCTTCCTGACCTCACCTCTTGCCACTCTCTCCCTCACTCTCTGCTTCAGCCACACTCCTCTCCTTATTATTCCTTTGCTGTTCCAGCTCCTGCCTCAGGACCTTTGCACAGACTGTCATCTCCTCTTGGAACTCTCTCCTCTTGATTTCTGCACACTTGGTACCCCTGGCTATTTCAAGCCTTTCCTCAGTTGTCACCTTCTCAGTGAGGCACCCCAAACCATCCTGCCTGAAACTGCACGCACACACACACCACCCTCTGCCCCCTGCAGTCTTCATTTTCCTTCATCCCCCTTTTCATTCCCTAATGTTTGATGTCCCATCATTTATTCGAATCCTCCCCCCTCCTCCTCACTATGGTGTCCACTCCAGGAGGCCAGGGGTCTTTGTCAGTCTTGTTCCCAGCTGTGTCCCCAGTGACTTCAACAGTACCCAGCCCATGGTCAGTGTTTTTATAAATATTTGTTTAGTGAATTAATGAACTGGTGGTAGGGAAGTCATGTACTTTTTAAACAAGGGTATTCAAATGAGCCAATGTAAAGAGGAATATTAAGGAAATCATGAAACAGGTAGGTGGTGCTGAATCGTTCAGGTGGTCTGTGTAACTGACGAGGTTAAGGATGCCCTGTGTGAGGGGGCAGCAGGGGAAACCTGAGGGAGGACTGTGTGGCTGGGAATTATGGGTGAAGAAGCTGGGATGGGGCAGGACTTGTCCTGGGTCATTTTGAAGCAGGGACCCTCTCTCTCTCTCTAGGGCCTGATGGGTTTTCCGGCTTCTCTGAGTCTCTCTCCAGCCACCTGAGCATCTTACAATTCTAATAACCTTTCCTCCATGTGCCCCCAGGATAACAACGGCAGAGAAACCAGAGCTGGGCCCCAGTCATCATGCCGGTAAGCCAGAGGCCCCCGACTCATAACCTGGCCCTCCTCCTCTGCCTCCCAGCCAAAAACCCCCTTGTGGTCCCAGTTTGGGGCCTCCCAATCACTTCCCCCACCCAGACCTTGCTGGGACTCCCCAGATTCAGTCCACAGAGTCTGAGCACATTAGCGTTCACCCCAAACCTGTTTCTCCTCCTTTTCTCAATGTCTAGTCCTCCCATCCTCTGTCACCACAACACTGGTGGCTCCTGTGCCCCAGCGAGTAACAACCCAACCCAAGCTCCATCTTCTGGATCTCCTGACCTAGTTCCTCCCTGTCCTCCCAGCTCCCACACTCACCTCCACCCCATTTCTGAGCAGAGTCCTTCTAAATCTCTGACCCTGTCTCTCCTCTGGTCAAAAACCCTCTATGGCTCCCTAGTACCCTTAGGACAAAGTTCAGACTCCTTAACATGACTCTCAAGGCCCTCATAAACTGGTCCCCTCTGTCTTTCTTGGCTTCATCTCTCATATGTAACATTTCCATCCCCGAAACAATACAAAGAAATAAATATATACATTGGGGTCACCAAAAAGTTCATTCAGATTTTTCCACTTTTTGACCTACCGAATATAACCCAGACAGATAAAACATAGTTCCTCAAACACCAGCATTCCCACTGCCAGGCCTCTGCACGACCGCTCTCTTGCCTCTGCATGGCTCTCACTTCTCTTGCTATTCTCAGAGGTCCCCTCCTCCAGGAAGTCCTCCCTGACCCCCCTCCAGGAGCCCTATGGGCTCCCCCACACCAGCTCTGCACACTCTGGGTCATCCCTGACTGGGGACAGGCTTGTCTCCCCCACTGAACGATGAGCCCCAGGAAGGCAGGGCAAGGCCAGCGCTGCCTCAGTCACTACTGTGTCCCCAGCACAGGGCTGGGCAAGAAGAGAGTTTAACACAAATGTTAGTTGCAGCAGCTGGAACGGACCTGTCCTCTGCTTCAGGTGACGACATCTATGAAGCAATGCCATCGCCAGTCCTCCTGGTGTCCCCTCTCGGTGACATGGGGCCCATGAACACCGCCTCGGTGAGCCCCCACTCCTCTCCCCTAAAGCCTACTTTTGACCTGTTGCCTCCCCTCTGAGTGTGCTGGGGTGCCCTAGGGTGCCTTGCCACACAGTTTGGGAACTGCTGTTCCCTGTCTAGGCCACACCCTATTTTAAAAATATAAACAAAAGAGACTGAAAGGAAACAGCAGAACACAGAGACAGTTTGTCTCCAGGCGTGGCGGCTGCTGGGTGGGCTCCATCTGCCTCTTATAAGTGTGGCAACTTAAGACAGGATTCTTACAAGAGGATTTTCTTGAGTAGATATGAGTAGATATTCCCTTTACAGTCAGGTGGAAAGGGTTGATTAAAGTAAGAAATAAGAAGAGAGACTGGGAATTCCCTGGCAGTCCTGTGGTTAAGACTGTGCACCTTCACTGCCGAGGGTGCAGCTTCAATCCTTGATCAGGGAACTAAGATCTCACAAGCCTCATGGTGCAATCAGAAAAAAAAAAAAAGAAGAAGAAGAAAGAAGAAGGTGGAGGCGAAGAAGGAAAAGGGACTTAAACAGTTAAGACTGAAAGCTTAGAACCACATGTGTTGACGGGGAGGCCGAGCATTACCTGGCGCCAGGCCATTGGCCGCACCTCGCATGCACCCATTTCTCAGAGGGGATCTGAGTGCAGGGGGGTTAGGTCCCTTCACTTAGAGGCCTCAGAGGCAGGGAGGGGCGATGGGGACCCGAAGCCCAGGTCTGTCCTGACACCAGAGGGCAAAGGTGGGGGGTGTTGGGGTGCTGGGGGGCCTGGCTCACCCCTGTTCTTCCCCTGCAGCCGCCAGACCTGCCTCTGCCCCCGCCTCCACCGCCCCCACTGCCGAAGCCTGAGCCTGAGCCTGAGCCTGAGCCTGAGCCTGAGCACCACCCCTACCAGGTGTGGAGCTGGGGGGCGGGGCGGGGCGGGGCGGGGCGGGGCGTGGGCGTGGTGGAGCGGGACCAGCGGTCTCGGTGGGTGGGGCTTCCTTCTGACCCCGCCCCCGACTCCCGAGCTCCCGGGAAGGAAGTGCGTTGCCTCTTTGCTGAAACTTCCCGGGCAAGTCATTTCCCGTCTGCGGGGCGGAGGGCGGGTTACAGTTTCCTCCTTCGTCCAAGGATTCCAATGCAATGAACTTAGACCGGAAGAAATGAAGCCCAGAGAGGGGAAGGGCCTTGCCTAGGGTCACACAGCGAATCAGGGCCCACCGCAGGGGCCCCCCTACCCCGTTCCTGGGCCTGGGTCTCAGCCAGTCGCCCGCTGTCTGCCCTTGAACTGCCTCCGCCTGTGTCCTGTCTTACGTGTCTCTCTACCCCGTGGGTCTCCCCACCCCGCCCCGCAGCTCCGGTGTCTCTCCCTCTTTTTCTGTGCCCTGCACTTTTTGTTTCTCTGTCTGTCTCACTCTCTCCTTGTCCCTCCTTTCCTGTGTCTCTGTCTCCCCCTGGCTCTCACCCCCAACCACAACAACTCCTCCATCTCTTTCCCTCCTCTTCCCCCCAGGATCTGCTGAACCCCGACCCTGCCCCGTACTGCCAGCTGGTGCCCGCGCCCTGAAGGGGTCCCAGGAGAGGCCAGCCAGGGAGAGGAGACACCTCAGACTTCCCTGGGGCCCTTGAACCCGCAGAAAAGCCTCCGCAGAGATGCAGCACGACCGGGACCCCGGGGCTGTAAGGTCAACAAGATGGACGCGGCCAGTGGCTTAGGCAGCATCCAGCAGGATGGTGACAGGCCTAGCTCCTCACTCCCCAGCTGAACGAACAACTCGCCCTGAGGTCTGGCCCTCCAGCAACCTGGCCTGGGCCCATGTCTGGGAAAAGCAGGCTCTTGCTACCCCCACTCCACTCCAAAGCCCCCCAGAAGGTAGTCTCAGGCCTACTTCCAGCCAGACCGCACAAGCGCCTTCTGGCTAGGCTCCCTCATCTCAACCCACAGCGTCCCACCCAGCTCTGCTGACCTCCCTGGAAGCCCCTTTCCCTGGTCTTCCCATCACACGTGCTCCAGAGCAGAAGGCACATGACTGCAAGTTCTGGCCTCACGAACCTGTGGCCCCAGAGGACATTTCAGGCCAGTTTCCACGGCCACCTTCCCCGTCCAGTCAGATCCAGCCCCTCTTAAAATTCGATCTCTCAGAACCTGTAGCCAACTTCTGCCCTTTTCCCCCCCATACCCCCAGTTCGGGGCAGCCGCTTTCTCCTCTGCCCCCACTCAACCCTGTCCTCAATGTGGGTTCCATCTCTCACTCTAACTTATTCATTCATTCAGCAGTAAATAAACTGTGTGCCCTGCACAGTTCAAAACAAACATCCCTGCTCTCCTGGAGGGTCACTCTGGCAACGGAGAGTCAAGAAACAAATAACACACGTGGTGGGTTGACGGGAGGCATAAGGAGAGAAGGAGGGCGGGAGTGTTGGGAGACTGTGTGCGTGTGTGTGTGTGTGTGTGTGCGCGCGTGCGTGCGTGCGTGCGCACACATGCGCTCAGTAACTCAGTTGTGTCTGACACTTTTGTAGCCCCATGGATTGTAGACCACCAGGATCCTCTGTCTGTGGCATTTTCCAGGCAAGAATACTGGACTGGGTTGCCATTTCATCTTCCAGGGGATCTTCCCAACCCAGGGATTCTTTACCACTGAGCCACCCATGGTGTGTTGGGGTGGGAGGGATAGAGAAGAGTGAGAGTGTTTGGGGATTGAGGTTTTAAATGAAGGGGGCAGAGGAGGCTTAGCTAAGAAGGTAACAGTGAACAAAGACCTAGAGGAGAGAGAGGGAGCCATGAGGGGATCTAGGAGGAAAGCATTCCAGGCAAGTGCAAAGGCCCTGAGGCAGGAGTCTGCCTGGTGTGTCCGAGGAGCAGCGAGGAAGCCAGCATGCAGAAGCAGAATAAAGAAGTGGGAAAGGGTGGGGGGTGAGGTCAGGGAGATGGGCAGGGGCAGACCATGCAGGGCGTGTAAGCCCCTGCGAAGATTGGCTTTTCCTCTCGGAACCGAGAGACAAGGACTGTGTGGTAGGTGGAAGAATGACCCTTGCATTACTTAGGGATTCTGTTACACCCAGCTCCCTGTAAATCCTAATTGAAATGACACCCACATCCATGATGGCAGTACTTTCAAGAGTAAGTTCTCTGAGGCTGACTGCATGCCTTCTAGCTCCCTTGTACCAGCTTTGTTCTACAATAAATTGTGTTCCCCCCAAATTCATGTTGAAACCCTAATCCCCCATGTGACTCTTTTTGGAGTAGGACCTTTAAAGAGATGATTAAGACTCTTAAGAGTCCCCTGGACTGCAAGGAGATCAAACCAGTCAGTCCTAAAGGAAATCAGTCCTGAATATTCATTGGAAGGACTAATGCTGAAGCTGAAGCTTCAATACGTTGGCCATCTGATGTGGAGAACTGACTCATTGGAAAAGACCCTGATGCTGGGAAAGATTGAAGGCAGGAGGAGAAGGGGACGACAGAGGATGAGATGGTTGGATGGCATCACCGACTCAATGGCCTTGAGTTTGAGCAAGCTCTGGGAGTTGGTGATGAACAGGGAAGCCTGGCGTGCTGCAGTCCATGGGGTCGCAAAGAGTCAGACACGACTGGGTGACTGGACTGAACTTAACTGAAAGTTTAAATGAGGTCAGGGGGTAGGGCTTAATCCAGTACAATTAGTGTCCTTACAAGAAGAGGAAGAGAGTATTCCCTGGCGGTCCAGTGATTAGGACTCCTTACTCTCACTGTGAAAAGCCTAGGTTCAATCCCTGGTTGGGGAACTAGATCCCACAAGCTGTGCAGTGCAGCCAGAAGTAAATAAATAAAAATTTAAGAATATAAAAGAAGAGAAGGAGACACTAGGGATGCACACGCATGGAAAAGAAAAACAACATGAAAAAACATGAGAAAGAAAAGAAACAAAAGAAAAAAACATGAAATCATCATGAGGCAGTCATTCATAAGCCAAAGAAGGAAGGCTCAGAAGAAGCCAAGTCTGCTGACACCTTGATGTTGGACTTCCAGTCTCCAGAATTGTGAGAAAATAACTGTTGAAGCCATCAGGTCTGTAGTATTTTGTCATGGCCATTCTAGCAGAGTAATATAGGTTCCTAGGAAACGGGCACCATTCCTTCTTCCTCCACCACAATGAAGCCAGATTTAAATATAATGATAACTGGACTCCCCTGGTGGTCCAGTGGTTAGGAATCTGCCTGTCAACACAGGGACACAGATTCCATCCCTGATGGGGGAAGATTCCACATGCTGAGGGATGCCTAAGCTGCAACTGCTGACTAGATTATGCCTCTCCCTATTTGAATTTAAGTTCTCAGAACAGCTTTGGGAGGCTGGGACTATTGTATTCCCATTTTGTTGATGGAGAGGTGGAGTGACTGCCTCAAGGTCACACATCAAGCATAAGGAAAGACCAAGGATGCATCAGGATGGGCTGGGTTATGCTGCAGTAACAAGCAACCCCACAAGTTCCATGGCTTAGAATGTCAAGAGGTTCGTTTCTCTCTCTCCTTTGTTTGTTAACATTATTTATTTATTTGGCTGCACCAGGTCTTAGTTGTAGCACGTGGGGTTTTTTATCTTCATTGTGGCATGAAGGATCTTTAGTTGCAGCATGTGGGCTTGAGTTCCCTGACCAGGGCTCAAACCTGGGCCCCTGCATTGAGAGTGCAGAGTCTTAGCCACTGAGCCACCAAGGAAGCCCATACCCAGAATACGTGCATGTGTGCATGCTAAGTCACTTCAGTTGTGTTCAGCTTTTTGCATCCCTTGGACTGTAGCCCGCCAGGCTCCTCTGTCCATGAGATTCTCTAGGCAAGAATACTGGAGTGGTTGCCATGCCCTCCTCCAAGGGATTTTCCCAACCCAGGAATCAAACCCGTGTCTCCTGTGGCTCCTGCATTGGCAGGTGGATTCTCTTACCGCTGAGCCTCCAGGGAAGCCCTCATACCCAGAATTTGGAGAATCAAAATATATGTGAACAGCCCAGTCGATACACCATCAGGATTCATGTCAGAGCCCATGCTCTCACCCACTATACTTTCTGGAGAGAAATTCTCAGGCAGGTCTGCCCTCCCCCATCTATTCATTCAGTGACTCATCCATTCATTCAGCAAGTGCTAGACCAGGATGGAGGGGGTGGCTGGGGAAGAAGTGCACAGAGCTGAAAGATATTTAGAATGAAATATTGATATTATATAATTTTATCCTGGATTAGATGTGGCGGATGAAGGAGAAAGGGTGTTGTCAACAATGTGTCCGTTCATCTATTCAACAAATATTAATCGATCACCTGCTGTGTGCAGTGCTTCTAGGCTCTGAGGAGCCATCTGTGAACAACACATAAAGAGACCCCTGCCCTCAGAGAGCTGACAGCAAGCAGCACTGAAGGTAATGTCTGAGGGGAAGGAGGGAGAGGGGCTATGAGGGAGAAGGAAACAGATGCCAGGGTACCAGAGTGCCCAGGTGCCTGGTTTGCCACTGAGGGGTAGGGAACAGTGGTGTCATCCAAGCTGCAAGAGGGCAAGGTTTGCAAGAAATGAAGACATACATCCCCACAGAAACGTGTTCACAAATGTTCATAGTGGTGTTATTCATAACAGCTGGAAATTAAAACAACCCAACTGGCTATCAGCAGATGAATGAGTAAGTGTACTGTGATCTACCCGGAGAGGAATGAAGTAGGAGCTTCCCTGGTGGCTCAGTGGTAAAGAATCTGCCTGCCAATGCAGGAGACACAGGTTCGATCCCTGGTAGGGGAACATCCCACCTGCCAAGGAGTAACTAAGCCTGTGCACCACAACTATTGAAGCCCATGCTCTGCAACAAGAGAAGCCCCCACAATGAGAAGGCTGAGCACTGCAACTCGAGAGGAGCCCCTACTCGCGGCAATAGAGACAAACCCGTGCAGAAACAAGAAAGACCCAGCAAAACCATAAATAAGTAAATACATGGACTGAAATACTGATCCACACTACAGTGTGGGGGAAACTTGACAACACTATGCTAAGTGAAAGAAGCCAGACACCAAAGACCACCCAGTGTGTGACTGCACTCGAATCAAGTATCCAGAACAGGCAAATCCAGAGAGACAGAGAACAGATTAGTACTGGGCAGGGGGCTGGGAGGGAGAGAGAATGGGGAATGACTGCTAATGGAGACAGGGTTTCTTTTGGGAGTGATGTAAATGTTGTAAGGTTGATTGTGGTGATGGTTGTACAACTATAGGAACACACTAAAAACTTGGCATGTGCGTTACATCTCAATAACACGGTTTTTAAAGAAAGAAAAGGGGAGGGCTTGGGAGGCCAATCTTGAGTTTAGTTCAGCAGGGGGAAGGCAGCTGGAGATGCAGGTCGGTGGTGTTAGACTGGGGACAGTGAATGGCAGTGCACCCTGCAGCGTGGCTGCCCAGGTAATATCTTCTTTGTCACTGGTTGGGTTTGGGCTTACTGGACCAATCCTGGTTGCCAAGACTTGCCCGCGGAGCCAGCAGGGGGCAGCAGAGGGCAGCGCAGACCACCGGCCAGTGCCGGGCGGCGTGGTGCCGCGCATCCACTTGCCTC